TCGGATCTCCGCTGAGTGGGAGAGCCATAAAGGCCACATTAGGCGGGAGCCATTGCAGGTTGAATCTCAGTCCGTCAGCTAGCCACTCCACACAAACGCAAACAATGGGCTGATCACGCTGTCCGTCCGTCGGCAACCTTGCAAGCCATGGCTTTTAGTGCACCGTGATAACTTCAAGCACGTCAGATTGTTTGCAGTGAGGGAATTCCGTTGACTCGTCGAACCCACTCTCTTTTTCCATTGTCAGGCCTCAGCCACTGTCCGAGCCGGCCAGTGAACTGGTGCGGGGAATGCACGCAGAATTAGGCACAGAAGGCGCACCCTTGTTCGACAGGATGGCCAGCAACATATTCGAACTACGCGCTGAGTGCAGTTCTTCCAGATGGCCGTCAATAGTACCATCAAGCAGTTTATAAGTTCATTGAGTAGGAAAATTATATCTTCCTTACGTAGTCAAGTAAAACGCGCTTATCAATCTTCACGCTCAGGTATATCCCAGTCGCGGGCAACACAAGAACCGAATTTTTTAAAATTATGTTAGTTAACCTTTTTCCTTTACGTATGATTGGTCGTCAACTTCTGGGATTAGTTCACCTGGAATATCTAATCAAGGTCTTCGGTTTTTATTACAATCTCTGCACGTTTACACCTCTCAATTTCTAGTGTTTCAAATGGCGCGGTTGTCTTTTACGCTCTACTGATGCATTTAAACAAATTAATGGCGTAGATGTTATTTTTTTAATTTTTCATCCCGGTTACAGCTTCCTATCAGTTTAGTTTACATCGTAGTCCTTACCTCCCGTTTTCTCTCGCTGGGGTCACATATCCGAGGGTCCTAATCATTCCTCCCGCTTCGCCCCCTTCCTCCACTAAACCCACAATCCGCTAATTCTGGAGTTCCCTTTCACTTCTCAAATCTCCTCAGAGGTGGGACTAGCTGCTCGCACAGCCGCAAACACTCTGCATCCGACGGTGACCATCGAGAAGTCCGGTGAGGGGGAGTACACACTCACCACCGCGAGCACCTTCAAGACCTCCAAGATCACTTTCAAGCTTGGTGAGGAGTTCGAAGAGAAGACGCAGGATGGCCGTATTGTGAAGGTGAGTCCTCCCGCTTCTTCACCCATCCCTAATCACCTGCCTGTTTTAGACCACCATGGTCCTCGAGGGAGATGCGTTGAAGGCGACGCAATTGGGCGGTGACAAGGTGACGACCCTCATCCGAACCGTGGAGGGCGACTGCATGAAAATGGTGAGTTGTAAATACGATAGAGAGAGAGTTGCCTTGGATACGAAACCGCCAACCGTCTGGGCATCGCAGGGTTAAAATGGGTAACAGGCTTTTATAGGCAACACCATAGAAACCAAAATTCCCAGAATTCTGTAATACAGGACTGGTGGTAATGATACTTTTTATTTTTAAGGTCTCATTTTATTAATTTATTTAGTTTAATCAATTTTGTTCCATTATAGCGCACTTTTTCGTTGCAATATATTGCTCTATAATAGTTTTTCCACTATTTCCTGTTTTAGTTGATATATTTGTTTTATTTTCTCTTTTGCACCCCTTTTATGCCCCACTTATATAATCCCTATTACTGCCGATCCCCTATTACAGAATTCTGGGATGTTGGGCTTCCGTAGTGGTACTTATAATAGACTGTTAACGTATTTTCTGCTATTTTGAGGCACAAATGTAGCTCTCACTTTTCCCTCACACGGCGCTCGCAATCACTCCAATCAAGCTCACCAGCCCGCGATTGAAAGTCGCTTAGCCACTAGGGTGGGCTTCGTACCCTGTGTAGTGAAAAGGCATATGTTTACATTTGAAACTTAACCAGTGAACTTACCTACGAGGTCACAAGCTTGCTCACATCAAATTCGTCCCCAGCAGCAAACTGAACCATAGTGGTGACCGAAGGTAACTGTTTACATCAATGCTATGGCCCGATAAGT